GCACATCCCAGCATCCTTAGCCATGGAACAAGGATCTGGCATAAAAAATAGATAAATAAATAAATGAATGAATGAATAGATATAGTACTACTTCAAGACATAGCCACGGCACATCCCAGCATCCTTAGCCATGGAACAAGGATCTGGCATAAAAAATAGACAAATAAATAGATGAATGAATGAATAGATATAGTACCACTTCAAGACATAGCCACGGCACATCCCAGCATCCTTAGCCATGGAACAAGGATCTGGCATAATAAATAAATAAATAAATAAATAAATAAATAAATAAATAAATAAATAAATGAATGAATGAATGAATGAATGAATGAATGAATAAATAGATAAATAAATAAGTAAATAAGTAAATAAATAAGTAAATAAATAAATAAATAAATGAATGAATGAATGAATGAATGAATGAATGAATGAATAAATAAATAGATAGATAGATAGATAGATAGATATAGTACCACTTCAAGACATAGTCACGGCACATCCCAGCATCCTTAGCCATGGAACAAGGATCTGGCATAAAAAATAGATAAATAAATAAACGAATGAATGAATAGATATAGTACCACTTCAAGACATAGCCACAGCACATCCCAGCATCCTTAGCCATGGAACAAGGATCTGGCATAAAAAATAGACAAATAAATAGATGAATGAATGAATAGATATAGTACCACTTCAAGACATAGCCACAGCACATCCCAGCATCCTTAGCCATGGAACAAGGATCTCGCATAAAAAATAGACAAATAAATAAATGAATGAATGAATACATATAGTACCACTTCAAGACATAGCCACGGCACATCCCAGCATCCTTAGCCATGGAACAAGAATCTGGCATAAAAAAATAGATGAATGAATGAATGAATACATATAGTACCACTTCAAGACATAGCCACGGCACATCCCAGTATCCTTAGCCATGGAACAAGGATCTGGCATAAAAAAATAGATAAATGAATGAATGAATAGATAGAGAGAGAGAGAGAGATAAAAATAATAAATGTTGACAGATCTATGACAATCTCTATGGAGACTGACACTTTACTTGACTGTCTCAGTCACCCTTCCCCTTTCCTCAATCTAATCCCAGGCTTGTCCAGCCCCCTGATAACTTCAGATCTATACCCTTTGTTGATATAGCCAGACTCTCTCCTATGAGGTTGGACATCAGTTAGAATGAAATGAAATTCCTATGATATAAAAGTTGGCATTGGGTCTTCCAGAAATGCTTTCAAGGCTTCCTAAAGTCACAACCAAGTAAGTCTTTTGATACCCCAACTCTTATATATGAAGTATTTTTCTCTATTAGACATCTTTCCCATCCAGGCTCTTCAACTTAACAATCTCACAGAGCTGCTGGGGCCCTTGGGAAGTTAAGTGACTTGCCTAAGGTTACACAGGCAGTAAGTATGTGTCAGAGGTGAAGCTTGTACCAAGGTCTTCCAGACTTTTTATATGCTACACACATATGTCTGTGTGTGGGTGTGGGTATGTTTTAAAAGTATATATAAAATACATACATATACACATGCATACATATATAATACATGTTATACATACATGTATATATACCATATAGTACATGTGTATGTGCACATGAAATATGTGTGTATATACATACACATATATATATGTGTGTATACATATACAAAGTCTTCATGCACTTCAATATGCTTGAGACTTTGTATACATATATACATACACATATGTATGAAGTCTATATATAAGTCCAGTCTTAGACATTTACCAGCTAAGTGACCCTAGGCAAGTCAATCAACCCTTTCTGCCTCAGTTTCCTTATATATAAAATGAGCTGGAGAAGAAAATGGCAAATCATTCCAGTATCTTTGCCAAGAAAACCCCAAATGAGGTTATGAAGAGTCGAACATGCCTCAACAACAACAATTTTCTAGACTAATATCTAACATGTTATTATCAACTCTGAGAATACGTGGTCCCAACATCTACTTGAAATCAAAGGAGCTGGGATCAATCCAGATCTGTTTCTAGGTTAGGTGACCTGAAGCAAGACATTTCTCCTCTCTGGGCCTCAGTTTCTTCATCTGTAAAATGAGGGGGTTGTGCAAGATGTCCTCTAATGCCCCTTTCATCTCTAAATCCACTCTCCCCACCCACCCTTCCAAATCCTATGTGCGCACAATGGCCAGTGATGATAACAACGATGATGACAATGATAATCTTCCTAAGGAAGGTACAAGTGGGTCCCTTCCCTGCTGAAGAACCCTCAGTGGTTCCCCTTTGTCTCTGGAAAAAAAATACCAATTCCTCAGCTTGCTTCCTCTGGCTCTGGCCTTCCTTTCTTATCTCTACCCTCCAGCCAACCAGTGCTCCTTGCTGTTCTCCCAACTCACCATTCCATCCACTTCTCTGCCTTTGCAAGGGCCATCCCCCTATGCCTGGATTCACCTTCACCTTCAAGAAGTCTTAGATCCTTTCAAAGTTTAACTCAGGCCCCATCCCTATGGGAGTCTTCTCACCACATCCCACACCCCCACCACCAAATATTAGGCCTTTCTCCCTCCTTAAGCTTTTTTTCTTTTTGTCTTCTACTACAGAGCGTTGAATGCAGTTGGGGCTTGAGATATGTTTGTGGAACTGAAGTTGATTAATCAAAAGCTAAAGTAAATCTTTGTGTACTTTCCTAAAAGACATTCATTACCTACCCACATGGATATGATGCCTCTGGGAGTTTGGAACTGTGGGTGTGAGCTGTAATGATTTATACGCTAAATGCCAAATGCCAACAGGAGCATCTTTAAATGGATACCTTGAAAAAAGCCAACCCCATCTCATTAAGAACCAAAATGAGCAGTGGGCTTTTGTTTGCTTGGGGTTTTTTGGTTTTGTTTTTTACCAAGGTCAGTGGTTTCATCTCTGGTTTCTTCTGTCTTTTGCAGGGCTTCCATTAGATTTTGTTCAGCTCTATAATGATACTCGATGTGTTCTCTGTCAGTCTTGGTGATCTGGGAAATTCTCCCCCTTGTCCCCAGAGAAGGGTCTTTTGCCTTAAGTGCTTTCCTGCTTCTTCTGGAGTCAGACTCATTGAACCCAAATCTAATAAAGTTCAGCCTGTGGAAGAAATCTTTGTTAAGTTTGAGATTTTAAATATGAAGTGGTCTTACATTTTATTGTCCAGAATCTTTCATTAGGAAGACAGAATCTCTCACATTCGAGTCAATCTAACATTTATTAAGCACTTACTGTGTGCCATGCACTATGTTAGTCTCTTTAGGGCAGGGGTTCTTAACCTGGGGTCCACAGACCATTCTGTAGACAGATTTTCAGGAGGTCTGTGAACCTGGGTGAGAAAAATATATTTTCACTCATTTCTAACTAGCATTTAGCATTTCTTTCAATGATTCAAATCATTATTCTAAGAAATAAGTGGCCACTAGATTCACCAGCCGGCCAAGAGTGAGGGGTGAGGGATGACACAAAAAAGGTTAAGAACCCCTGCTCTAGGGACACAAAAACCAGAAGGGCAAAAGTCTCTGCCCTCAAGGCGCTTACATTTCACTAGGGGTCACCATATGTCTGCAAATATATAATAAAGTAATATGCAAGGAAATCTGAACAGGGAGAGAGCATGAGAAAGGAGGGACAGAATCAGGGAATGCTTCCAAAGGGAGGAAGATGAGGCTGTGGGGAGCCATAAATAAGGCAGGAGGGGCAGCTTGTGGGAATGCACAAAGATGGCTCATCAAATGCTGCAGGGAAAACATGAAGGGGAATAAGCCTGGAAAGGCAGACTGGAGCCAGACTGAAAACAGATTGTAAAGCCCAAGTGAGGAGTGGCTTAGGGAGCTCAGCTGAGGGGCAGCAAAGAGCCGCTGACATTTTTTGAGCAGGGGAAAAGGGGACGACTTGGTGGTCAGGGAGATGAGACAAGTGCAAAGCTGAGGGATGTTCTGAAGCTAGGCTTGCAGGATTGCCCAAGCAGGGCAATTTGTCCGAGGAATGCCTTCCATGCACAGTACAAGCCCGGCCAAAGCCTACCTCCGGGTCAAGGCTGCCTTCCTCCAGGTATCTCCTCGATGCAGCGCCTCACAATCTTCTAAAAGTCTAGAAGGTGGGTATTGGTTCACCTCACCTGTAGACAAAGGAAAGGGGTGAAACACCTTTTATCTGTTCTTAATCTATTCCTCTGACTTCTGGATGATCCTTATGAGGTTAATATGAAGACTTTTTTTTTTTAAACAACGCTTATCTCCTCAGGAATCGATGGGAACTCATTCTTTCCCAGTCCAAGGGATGAAGATGTTCCCAAGATTAGGGATCAAACATGGATGAGGTGCATGGCTGTTCATGTCAGACCCAAGCATCCTTGAAAGGAGGGGGATTGGGAATGCTCACAAGTAGAAGGGCTCACAACATGGCAGCAGGACGAGGTCACCCAATGGAAAAGAGTGACCCCTTCCTCCCTCACTAGAGCTGCCTGGCCCATGCTAGGTGCAGGCCGATGTGGGCTGCCCATTCATACAAGATGAGCAGCCTTTGGTGGAGAGGAGAAGACAGGAAAGGAGACTGGGGAAGAGAGCAGAAGCCCAGGCATACTACAGATATTGTCTGTAGTAATTAATAGCTTTCTTTCCCTCCCAAACCCTACTCTCTCCCTGTCCAAGGTACCATCATCCTCCCCATGACTCAGGCTTCCAACTTAGACGTCATCTTCACCTCCTCTCAGCATTCACCCCTTGCTATTTCTACCTTCACAATATCTCCCCTCTATGTCTCCCTCCTCTCCACTAACACAGCCCCACTAGCAGTGCAGGCTCTCATCACCTCAGACCTCCTCCTCATCCTCCACTCAGCTGCCCAAGATCACCAAAGTGATTTCAATAATAATAATAAAATAGCATTTTAAGGTTTGCAAAGTGTTTTACACATATTATCTCATTTGATCCTCAAAATGAAGCTAGGAGGTAGGTGCTATTATTGATATCCCCATTTTACAGATGTGGAAATTGAGGCAGGTATAATGATTTGCCCAGGGTCACATGTCTTCCCGACTCCAGGTCCTATTCACTGAACCACCTAGCTGCCTGTGATTTTCCTAAAGCTCAGCTGTGATTATGTCATCCTGTGATTCAATAAATGCCCTACTCTGTAGGGTCCCTATTAAAAGGCTTTTAAAGTTCTCTACAGCCTGGCCCTTTCCAGTCTTCTTACACTTTCCCCCTCTGTATATTCTACAATCCAACAACACTGACCACCATCTTGCCACCCTGTGCCTTGGCACTGGCTGTCCCCCCTATCTAGAATGCCCTCCCTCCTCCTGGTTTCTCCAGCTTCCTTCAAGACTCAGCTCACCTCCCAGGTTCAGCTAGAGGAGACTTCTAAGCCTATTTATATTAATTATGGCATTTATACCGTATACATCTTGTATATACATAGTTGTCTCCCCATTAGAATAAAAGCCCCTTGAGAGCAACAATGGTGTTTTGACCTTTCTTTAAATCCCCAGCACTTAGCACAGTGGCAGGCACACAGTAGGTACTTAATAAATATTTGTTGACTAACTGGCTTGGGAGATAGAAGAACGTGGGTTCTACCCTCAATTCTGGCACTCCTAACAAATCCCTCAATCCCTCAGACCTTGGTTTTGCCATCTGTGTTAGCATTCGATGGGAGGCATCACGGGACAGGTACAGAGGGTCTGCCTTCAAGCAAGGAAGACCTGGGTTTGGGTCCTGACTGTGTGACCTCGGGTGAATTACAAGACTTCTCCATGCCCGAGGCAGCTCTCTCAGACCGGAAGTTACAGGGAGCTGCCAATCTTCATTCCTCATCGAGGAAATCATATCTGGGCCAAAATAAACACTCCAATGAACGAAAAACCAGCCCAGCCCAGCAAGTGCGAAAACATGCTGCTGGAGCTGGGCCTCTTCAATCGGGCCTCGATTTAAAAAAGCAGCCAAAGATCACGCCACAATGCGAGCAGCCCGGAGGGCACCCTGTCTACACGACAGGCAGTTAATTCCTGGGATCAGACCCCTCCAAAGGATTTTCTAGCTGCTGTCCACCAGTGACATGCTCCTTGCCCCTCTAAGGGCTACAAAACAGGAGTGGCCCAGTGGCCCCTGAGAGCAGTTGGCTGCCCTCTCTGAGCCCCTCTTCCAGCCTCCCGCCCACCCCCCACCTGCTCACTTTTCAGAAGGTTCAGGAAGGCCCGGATGAACCGCTCGGCATAGTCCATTTCCTGATGGGAGATATCAGCCAGGCGCAGCAGGTGCTGCTCAGGTGGGAAGCTGGCCAGCCAGGTCAACTCTTCCATGTTGACTCCAGCGCCCAAGGCCACGGTAAAAAAGATGAAGCCTCCACACTTGGCTTCCAGGGACACCCTCCACAGCTTCTCCCTGTCTTCGGGACTTGTCTCACTTCCCACAATCACAAAGAGAACCCGGCCCTTCCTCTGCAGGGGATCTGTCACAAAGATATTCTCAACAGTCCACTCTAGGGCGTGGCCCAGGTACGGGGGCCCTCGGAGAGGGTGGACAGACTCCCTTATGTGCCTCTGCATCTGCTCCGGATGGCTGTACGTGAGCAAATCAAACTCCTTCTCAATGGGGGGCACGCTCTTGTAAGGGAAGAAGCCTGGGACCGTCTGCTGTACCAGGGCAACCCTGGCCCCCTTCGCGGAGGTCCTGGGATGAGAAGCAATGATAAAGTGATTCAGCATGGAGCCCACCATGCTTCTGGCTGCATTAAACATGTCACTTGTGACCCTGAGAGAGCCATCCACCACAAAGGCTATGTCCATGTCCACCCCGATGGGCCTAGGGCTAATCACTTCACACTCCTCGTCTTCTCTGCACCAATCTACGAGGGAAGTACAACATTGGGATGAGAGCAAACTCCTGGAAGGCGTAAAGTAGAACTGAAACCTTCTACAGAATCACAGGTTTAGAACCCAAAGGAACCTCTCGCAGTCATCTGGTCCAACCACCCTGTTTCCAGACGAGAGACTAAGGGACCGAGCCAAAGTCACAAGATTTGAACCCAGTTTCTCTGGCTCCTTGAGGGGGGACTGGAAAGGGGCAGCTTCCTTGGACAGTCCCATTGAGAGTTTCCCTTTTTTTAATCAGGTGGGCCAGGGGATGCCCTGCTTCGGTATTCGTGCCTGGGGACCCCTGAGCTCCTGCAGTTTGCAGTTACGGTGATTTCAGGGTAGGGTTGGTGTTACGGTGATGGCCAGGGTGTGTTTGCAGCATAAAGCACTGACTCATTTAAGGCACTCTTGTTCCCCAAATGCAACTCGAAAGGACCTCAGAGGTCACTGGTCCAACTCAGCATCATGCGGATAAGTAAAGTAAAACCTACAAAGGGGACTGGCCTGCCCAAGACCACCCAGGAGCCAGCGACGGGGCCTGGACCAGAACTCCCCAGATTTCGCACTCAGAACCCTTTTCATCACATCATGTTGCCTTTATGACCCTGCTCCTTACCGGTTCTGTGACCCTGGGCAGAGCATGTAAACTCTCAGGCCCTTACCTTCTCATTTGGAATATGAGAGGACTGGAGGCAAGGGTTGTTACCTTTCTGTGTGCTTCAGACCCCTTTGGCAGCCTGGTAAAACCTACAGGCCCCTTCTTAGAATAACATTTTTAAATGCATAAAATTAAATTCATAGGGTTACAAAGGAAACAAATTATACTGAAATACAGTAATAAAAGTATTAAATCACTGATTAAATACTAATTACATTAATATTAAAATAACTGTCTATTATTAATAAATTCCATTTTAATTGGATTTAATTATCCACCAGTGCCTCTTATTGCATCCTAATCCCAAAACCTGAAATTGCAATATTGGCCTAGAATAACATGTGTAAGAGAAGGAAGCAAGGACAGGTAATTAAGGATTATTAATAGCCAGCATTTGCATAGAGCTTTAAGATTTGGAAAGCACTTTACAAATATTATCTCATTTGATTCTTACAATAACCCTGGGAGGTAGGGGTATTATTATACGCATTTTACAGATGAGGAAACTGAGGCAGGCAAGAGGCCAGGTAACTTCCCGGGGTCTCTCATATGTTTCTGAGGCCAATTCTGAACTCAGGTCTTCCTGACTCCAAGTCAAATGCTCTATTTACTGCACCATGTAGCAGCCTCTTAAGACAAGTCTACAGGCTACAGGTTAGGAACCCCTCCCCTGGATGAGATGATCTCTGGGGCTCCCTCCTGCTCTCAATCTATGATCCTATAAATCAGTTTTATAGGAAATCCTCCAGGACTGGAAGTAAAAAAAGATAAAGCAGCTCTGCTGACTTACCGTAGCAAAGAGTGCAGGAGGCCACACGTTCCACATCCTCATCATTCTTATTTTCCCACACATAGAGCTTAAACCTCTTTGTATCATCCATCTAATGCAAACACACACACAAAACACACACACATTGGCATAACTAATTTTAGGAGCATCCTTATGACATCTCTTAATCTGTCCTCTCCTCTACATGCAGATGACCTCTACCGCAGTCCATAGTTATTTAAACAAATATTTATAATAAATGCTTAACAATTGAATTGAATAATAGCTCACATTTCTATAGCCCTGAAAAGTTTACAAAGTGGACAGAGTGTTGGACTTAGGGTCAGAAGGACCTGAGTTCAAATCCAGTCTTTGACACATGCTAGTTCCATGCCATGATGACGCAATAAAATGGAATTACCAAGCCACTCACTGGGAATAAAAAGACACATCACATATTATCCTTACTCATAAAGAACTTACCATCTAGTTGTGATATATGGCACACAACACTTTGCAAAATGCTTTTCTACAATGTGACTTTCTCCATGTGAGTATCTCCTCTACTGGTACAGATTGCAACCCTTCCATGACTTCTCATTCTGTGACATTCATATCCATATCTTTCCACCAACGCTCTCTCTCTGATGTATTGCCATCTTCATCTATTTCTTAATGCAAAACAGTATTTTCCGAGATAGAACACATCTGCTCACATCTCATTCTTTCAGCATCTCAGGCACCATGTACTGAAACTTTCATTCTCCCCACATCCCTTCTTTTCCAGTTACACATGCCATCCATGGCACCTTTGATGTTATTTTTCACATCTATCAATCAATACTGGTAACATGCCACTGCCTTGTCATGCTCATCCTGTGTCTTTCCACTGTCCTTTGGGTTATGCCCTCTATATCTGTGGTCATCTGGGCTTCATGGCCAAAAAACCAAAGAGATACATTTTTGTAAATGAAAAAAGTTCAAGATCCCTGAAAGCATTTCCCAGATGTAATCCAGCCCCATTTCCTCCTCCTGTTCAATTCCTTGATGAGTTCATTTTCCATCTGCAATGTCTGCCCAAGATATTTCTATGGACTAATTCAAAGGGCTACCGATCCAGCTGCATCTCATAGTATGGGCAATCTGCATTTTTCATCCACTTTTAAACTGACCCCTCTCACACTGCTACAAAGATTTCACTGGGGAGGCTTTGTAATATTTGGGGAAACAGTGCAGTTAGTACCATTCCATCTTAAAACAGGAGAATTGGGAGAAGTTCACCATCAGTTGTCAAGGAGTGAATCTTTCTTTTCCATGGGCTGAGCACAGGACAACATCCATGACACTGGCAAATACCTTAGGTAACCTAAGGTCTTACTGATTTACTTATTCTTTGCTTGCTACCCACACCCAGTGGATCACTGAACAAAGTTATCTCAATCAACAAGCATTAAATTGCAAGCTGCTTGAGGACAAGAACTGTCTTTTGCCTTTATTTGTATCATCAACGTAGCACAGTGCCTGGTACATAGCAGGCATTTAATAAATGCTTTTTGACTGACTGACATTTATTAAGCACCTACTTAATGTTATTAAGCCAGGCACTGGAGATACAAATGTCAAAAATGAAAAAAATCCCTCCTCACAAGGAGCTTATACACTAATGGGGGGAAAGCAGTAATAAGTACATATTGAAATGCATTCAGAATAAATGAATAAAAATAAAGTAGTTAGATACAAGGCAGTTAGGGAAGGAGGGCACTATCATTTAGAGGGATCAGGAAGAGCTTCATGAGAAAAATGGTGCTGGAGCTGTGTCTTCATGGAAAAGAGAGATTTTTATGAAGTGGAGTAGAGGAGGGAATGTTCCAGGTATGGGGGAGGGTGAGTATAAAAGCATGAAGACAGAAGATGAAATGTAATAAACAAAGAGAAGGTCACTTTGGCTGGATCACAGAGTATATGAAAAGGAGGAACATGCAATAAAATGCAAAATGGGTTGGGTCCAGGACATAATGGGATTAAAAGCTAAAGAGAGAAGTTTATATTGTATCCTAGAGGTAAAAGGACGCCATTGGAGTTTATTGGATAGCTAGTAAGTCAACAAACACTGATTAAGTTCTAACTATGTGCCAGGCACTGTGCTAAACCCTGAGAATACAAAGAAGGGTTGAAAACACAGTGTCTGACCTCAATGATTCACATTCTGAGCAGGATGACAACTTTTGCAAATAACCACATATAGTACATAAAAGATATATACATGGAATGGAAGATGGTGTAAAAGTGAAGGCACTAGTGGTGGAGGACTGAAACAGAGAGGAGGAGCAGTGAAAGCCTCTTGTAGAAAGTGGGATTTGGACTAGGTCTAGAAGGAGGCCAAGTTAGCCAGGAGTTGGTGGTAATGGAGAGCATTCCAGGCACTGGCAACAACCAGGGCAAAGGCACAGTCGGGAGATGGAGCAGCGTGTGCAAGAAGGCCAGTGTCATTACATAGCAGAGTAGGTAGAAGGGCATAAAGTGTAAGGAGACTGGACAGGTAGGAATTGAAGGTACTTAAATTCTAAACAGAGCATTTTATAGTTGTTCTAGGAGGTAATGGGGAGCCACTGGAGTTTATTGAGGAGGGGAGTGATATGCTCAGACTTGTATCACTTTGGCAACTGAGTGAAGGATGGATTGGAACGAGAGGAGACTTAAGGCAGTTCCTTCTTCCAACCAAAAGTCTATTGCAATAGTCCAAACATGGGTCCATGAGAGCTGGTGCTACATGAGTGGAGAGAGGGAAATGTTGAAGAGAAATGTTGTGAAGGTAAAAATTACGAGATGTGGCAAATTTGGGAGTGAATACAAGACTAAGTAGCCAAGGATAACATAGATGTTATGAGCCTGGGTGACTGGGAAGATGGTGATGTCCTTGATAATAACAGGAAAATTAAAAGGAGTTTGGAGGGAAAGATAAAGATAGTGAGTTCTGTTTTGCACATGTAGAGTTTGAGATGCCTATAGAACCTCCATTTTGAGATATCCAAAAGGCAGTTGGTGATAGCAGGGACTGGAGTTCAGGAGAAAGAGTAGGGCTAGACATATAGGGTAGGAGAGTAGCATAGTCAAATCTGCACTTAAGGAAAATCACTTTGACTTGAGGCAGAGGAACCATTTAGGAGTCTGTTACAATAGTCTGGGCAAGAGGTGATGAAAGCCTGAACTAATATGGTGTCTGTGTATGTAGAGGAAAAGGGCTGAGTGAGAGAGATGTTGTGCAGGCAGAAAATGCAAGATTTAGCAACTGATTTTTTTTGGGGGGGGTTGTTATTGTTTAGTTGTGTGCAATTCTTTGTGACCCCAATTGGAGTTTTCTTAGCAAAGATACAGGAGTGATTTGTTATTTCTTTCTCCAGCTCATTTTACAGATGAGGAAACGGAGGCAAACAGGGTTAAGGGACTTGTCCAGGGTCACACAGCTAGTAAGTGTCTGAAGTTGGATTTGAACTCATGAAAATGAGTCTTCCTGACTCCAGGCCAGTGCTCTGTGCACTATGGCATCACCTAGCTCCCCTTTTGTGGGGAAAATGGGGTGAATAGCTGAGAATGATACCAAGAGAGACTGGAAGAATAGTAGTACCCTTTAGCAGAAATAGAGAAGTTTGGAACAAATGTGCGCTGGCGAGGAATAATAAGTTCTGTTATCGACATTGAGATACCTCTACAATATTCCATTTGAAATATTCAATAGATAAGTGGCGAGATGAACCTAGAACTCAGAGGAGAGAATGGTTTTAATTCTTGTCGCCAAAATCCTTAGAATTGTCAAGTGGTTCACTATCAGAAACTCACATGATTTCATCAGTGGAAATGACGCTAAAGAAGAAGCATGAACTTCTGCTTTGCTGCGATACTCTACGAAATTTTTCTATCTGACTCACAGCTGAGACTTGTCATATGCGTTGTCTCTCCCATTACAGCAAAAGCTCCTTGAATGCAGATGCTAGCTTACTTTTCTATTTGTCTGCCCAGCACTTAGCATGGTGCTTTGCTTATAGTAAGTACTTAGTAAATGCTTCATTCATTTGTTCATTTATACATACTCATATAACATATCCACATATATATACATATATATTTTATATATGCATATGTGTGTGAATCACCTGAATAGAGATGATAATTAAACCCACTGGAGCTGAAAATATCACCAAGAGCCTTCAAAGCCACATTTGTAATATCCTCATATAATTTAATATATTGTTGGTCTGCTTTATTAAAGGCACAATCTATGCCCTTTCCTCTTCTTTGAGATATATTGAGAATAGACTTTCAAATACCTTTAAAATTGCCTGACCTTGGGGCAGCCAAGTGGATAGAACACTGGCCCTGGAGTCAGGAGAACCTGAGTTCAAATCCAGCCTCAGACACTCACTACCTGTGTGACTGTTACAACAGTCTGGGCAAGAGGTATGAAGGCCTAAACTAATATGGGGTCTGTACACAGATAAAAAGGGTTGGAGAAAGAGATGATGTGGAGGTAGAAATGGCAAGATTTAGCAAGTGATTTTTTTTTAGCAGCTGGGCATGTCACTTAACCCCAGTTGCCTCAAAAAAAATTGCATGACCTCTAGCACAATTTCTTCATATGTATTTAATCAAATCTAATAAATTTTCTCAGCTTCATCTTCTAAAATTCCATTGCCACTTCCCTGCATAATATACTAGATGGCAGGAATAAAAATGTAGTTGTTCCATTATTGTAATCACTGTAAATAGATAAAAATTCTGCCCAAATCAGTTTTCCTTCAAATATGTTTGTCGCCCTTTTTGTTTCATCTATATGTGCCCTTCGGATGATCTGCCTGAGCTGAATCTCCTGCCACACTCTTGTTTTGTGAGACAATTCTGCTCTTAATCCTTTGTCATCTTCCTACTTCATAAATGAACTTACAAGTGAACTCAAAATTAAAGTTGCCCTTGTCTGTCACATGTCTCTACTGGACAAAGAAATTGAGATTTTACTGGTTGAGCCTCGTCCTTGTGGCAACTGTTTTGCTTTGGTTATATCAGCTGTCTAGGTGATAGCCAGAGCTACCATTTCTACTCCTGAACATTTCCTTTTTT